TAGACCGATCTTGGCCTTCGACAGAGATTTGGCCACCGAATCACCGTTAACTGATACCACACAAGGGGCAAGCTCATCTGGCCTTACATGCCAACTAAAGTATGCTGAGCTGGAGATCTCGAGCAATTCGGCCTCATCTCCACCTCCATACCATGACAACACATTCACCACCACCTCCCACATGAGTCCAGCTCTCTCTGCCATCTCGAATGCACCATTCTTTCTTCCCAGCCAATATGAAGAAGTTCAGTCATATCCGCAACTTCAACTTCAATTTCGTCATCCAAACAAAGCCCAGGAATTGCCTTGTCAACAGAGTTCTATTCAATTCCACTCGCCTGTACACAGCTACAAGTATTCGTCTCAGAATCAACATCAACATCATCATCAACATCAACATCAACATCAAAAACAACAGTTTCAGCATCAGCAGCATCAGCAGCAACAGCAGCGTTGGTTTCATGAACTTGTGCTGGTTCGCACAAAAAGCAACTGGAAATTTTATCTACTCGGTCTGATTGTTGCCGACCTGTTCGTCTCATTTCTCACCGACACAAGCACAGTTTCTAGAGAGGCCTTTGTGAGATCTGCCTTCGCTTGGCTCGACCAGAAATGCTCACTCACTCAACTGAGGCCGCGTAAGTCAACCCATTGCACAATTCAACCATGTCTCCACGGCAATATCGCCCTCTCTACAGGTCCTCTTTCAGCTACCCATACATTAAACGTCTCCAAACATAACTTTATTGTTGCTATATGAGCATCGTCCTGCACTGACGCGATTGCCGGTCGTTCCTGATGTCGTCAAGACTCTGGCAGATCTGGTCAGCAGTTGACGAGAAACCAGTTTTCACTGAAAACAGCTTTCGAGTATATCAGTAATACCTGATTAAGAATTTATACACCTAAGGCCATTTAAGGTGATTTAAGAACTGGCATCACATGATCTATTAATCTCATTGTAGGTTAACTCGAATATGAGTACTTAAGTCGCCTTAATCGATCTGGTCTGACTGAATTTTTTTAATTATTGGAATACTTCGTCATTAAGGGGAATTTTTTTGAGCTTATCGCTTCTATCGCTGCCGTTGTCCGCATCTCACGCCCACCCAAAACACAATAATACTTGTTGCCTCC